CACCTCCTCTCCTGGGGGGCCTGACGGGCACATCGCGAGCCCAGGCAGACTCATTACTGGCACTGTCCACATCTAGCACCTCCCAACCCCCGCCAGGCATGTCCCCAAACCCTACTAGGGATGACCCCAAACTCCACCAGGCATGACCCAATACCTCGTGTCCTCACATTACTATCCTTCCAGCACCCTTCAGGAGCCCCTCACCCACTCTGGCCTGGAGCCACCCCCCACATTCCCAAGATCTCACAATACCTGGTCCTGATCTGCTGACGTGAGTCCCTGTGCCTGCCCTTGACCATGGCCAGATGCCCCAGGACAGAGCAGACTTGGGCTGGGGGCCACAGGATGGGGCGGGGGGGGGAACAGCCCCCAGGGCTGGGGCCACAGAGCTGGTAAGAGGGTTGGGAACTGCCCCTCAGGTGTGGGGCCCTGATAACCCCCCCTGTGACACCAGGGGCAACATGTGACCCTTATCAGCTGCCCCAGCCCCAGTTCACTCCCAGGGCCTGGGGCCAAGAAGGAGCAGGGCAGAGGCCACAAGGCAGCATGTGACAGAGGACAAGGCCACCCCCCACATCATAGGCAGCACTGGCATACGAAGGAAGTCTTTATTGAGTCCGAGGTAGCAGCAGTGAATGGAGAATGGGGGGTGAGCCCGAGGGACCCCCCCAGCAGGATGGTCGGGCAGCAACTGCTTATCTGCACCACTATGGCAATGAAGGCAAAGCTGAAGGCAGCAGAGCCCACACCCAGGGACGACCCACAGCACCCCTCCCCTCAAGAGGGGGGACAAGGACCAGCCCCGGTCCTTATTCAAAGAGGAATCACTGCCAGACAATCTTCATTAAGTCATTAAAAAAAAATACAAGAAGTGGCCTCCCAAAACTGCTAATCTAAAGCTACTGCACAGCAGGGGGGTCACAGCCAAAGGGGATGCAGCCTCAGCACAGTCCCCTCACTAGAGACCTACTGCCAAGACATTGATATTGAAATTAAAAAAAAACCTCAAAACTTCAATAACAACACCAGGCAGAGCCCTGGAAAGCTCCAGCCACAGGGGATGAGCCCCCCAGCTCCTGGAGGGGGAAGCAGGGAGGCAGGAGCAGGATGAGCCCCAGGTCCCTCACTTCAGAACAGCAAACTTGAAGACAGCCATGATGGCAGCACTGATGAGCCCAGAGATGGGGACAGTGACAAACCAGGCCATGAAGATGTTGCGGAAGAGGCGCCAGTCCACAGCCTTCCTGGAGCGCAGCCAGCCCACCGAGACCACGGAGCCCACCTGCACAAGGGTGGGGGGGCATGGCTCAGCATGGCACCAGATGCCCCTGGGTGCCCACCACCCACAGCCCACCCCACCCCAAGGCACCCCCCACCTGGGGCCAAGGGTCTGGGCTCCAGCCCTTGAAGAGCCAGGAAGAATAGGGTAAGGAGCTGCCCTCCTGGAATGGCAACAGGGACAGGCACTGGAGCCTGGGTTCCCATGGCTGCTTGGCAGGGCCCAGGGCCCCATCAAAGGGGTTTTGTTTTCCCATCACCTCCTCGGATGTCCCCAGCCCTGGGCATTTGCTGCCACCCCACATTGAGATGCAAACAGCAGAGCTGGGAGCCAAAGAGCAGCCAGCAGCTCCCTCAGGACCTCCCGCACAGCTCAGCCTCAGTGGCAGCAGGCTCTGATGACAGCCAAGCCAGTATCACCCCCTCCTGTCCCTCCACCTACCTTGCAGTGGGTCGTGCTGATGGGGAGGCCAACATTGGAGGCAATCACCACCGTCAGGGCAGATGCAAGCTCAATGCTGAAGCCGCTGTAGAGGCAGAAACTGGGTGTAACCCCAGGCACAGAACCCCTGCCCCCCACTTGGCTTGGCCCAAGCTAGAGCTGGGACTCCTTTCCCCACCCAGGAAGATCCCACACAGCAGGGGCAGAGCCTCCTTTGGCTCTCCAGAACCCTGGACTGAGCCCCTGGGGGATTCAGGGATGTGTTATGGGGTCATGTGGGCCCTAGCTCCACCACCTGAGCAATTAAACCCCTAAAGAGAGCATGGAAGGGAGCTCAGGGAGGTCTAGGATTGCCCAAAGCCTTTCTGTGCCACATAGACCTTACCTTGAGGGTGTGATGGGGGTCAGGTCCTTTCCCATTGTCTGGATGACTCTCCTTCCCCAGACCCACAAGCCGATGCAAATCCCTGCACCTCCATAGAGCAGCAGCCAGATGGGAGTTGCCACCTTGGTGGCCACATCACCCGTCTGATAGACCAAGTAGAGTGCAACCAGGGGCCCTATAGCATTGCTGGAGAAGAAAGGAGAGCTGGGCTAGAGGACCAGGGGCTCTGGGCAAGGTGGACTCCAGAGAGCAAACCCATGGCTGCTGCTGACCCAACTGACCTGACATCGTTGCCACCATGTGCAAAGGAGCCAAAGCAGGCGGTGAGGATCTGCAGGAACTGGAAGAGAAGGGACACTTCGGGCTTATCCTGGTCCTGCCACTCCTCCAGGGAGCTACTGCTGCCCTTGTGGTCACAGGCTCCCATCTCCACCTGCGCTGTGTTCAGGTCCACAACAGCAGCTGGGCGGGCATCGGCCACTGCATTGCAGTAGCTGGTGTAACTGTCCATACGGACTCTCTTCTTGGTGTCTGCTGCTGGCCAGGCCAACTTCTCCCCCTCCTCCCCATCCCTACGCAAGGAGTCCAGGGGCATCCCACAGATGGCCATGGTGTAGGAGGTGTAGCTGTTGTTGCGGCGCAGGGGCTTGTCCCCCGAGTCCCCCATGCAGTCCCCCATCTTGGCCAGATGCAGCTTGTGCAGCAGCTCCTTGTAGAGGCCAGAGTCCTTGTGCACAGTGTGGTACTGGTACTGCCCACCTGAGCCCAGCTGGTGGCCCACAGCCTGGCTGAACTGGACCAGGTTGCCATTGGGCAACCGCATGGATCCTGCCAAGAGAGACCATGGGCTGGGGTTTAGCACCTGGAGGGGACCCAGAATGAACAGAGACCACCCCAGCACCTCACATCACCCCCCAGCACTCACCACTGTCAAGGATGGTCTCCTTCAGGTCAAGGCTGGGGAGCCTCTCCTGCTCTGGGGTCTCCTCCAGGTCCCCCAGGTTGAAGGAGACTGTCCTCTCCTCTAGTGTTGCCTGGTGGGACACAGCTGATCCCCTATCAGCAACAGGGCCCTTGGCATCACCCAGGTGTGCCTTGGCCTCCTCCTGGTCCTCCTTTGGGCTGATGTTCTTCTCCATCAAGGGACTCTCAGAAGGACTGGATTTGATCTCTCCTGTGAAGCGAGGCAGCTGCCATCAAACCCCTTCTCACCACCAGACACCCTACACTAGGAGTGAGCCCACACTATTCAGGTTTATGGCAGCTAAATAAACATTTACAGCTTTTCCACCCCCCATCCTGAACTTAGCAAACTGCTGGGCAGTAGCACCTTGTTCTGAACACAGCAGCCAAACTGGCCCCTGCCAGCTCATCTCCTATTTTTAGCCCCACCACCCACACGGGGTGTGGTGAGCACCATTTCAGAGCTGTTATGCCCATTCTTTCTAGGGCAGAGGTTTCTGTTAGAGCCACCTTTGTCCTGTTCCCGGTGGTCATGGGATGCTCTGAACCTACTCCCGGGGTGCTTTGGGAAGAGCCCAGCTCCTCTATAGTCCACCAGCTTCAGGACCCACTTGCCCAGGCTCCCCTCCAGCTCCCACCAGTTGGTGACAAACACCAGGAGGGGCCAGTTCCCCCTCTAGGGCAGCTGGTTTCCTGTCCCACCAGAGCAGCCCAGCCAACAGCACCAGCCTTGGAAACCAAGGCTGCTCCTCCCCCTCTGCCGGGACAAGTATGTTTTTCTCCAGGTGAAAACATGAGGTCAGCTTCTTC